TTTGACAATTGGAAAATCGTTATTAGGTATCACTTTTTTTATAGTAGATTGAACCTATTAAAAAATACCATATTTTGCTGTTCCTAATGTTGCAGATAGTTAGTAAAAATCCTGGACCTTGGTTTCGTGCAGTTTGACACGTTTCAGCAGGGTTTACTTGTAATCTTGGGGGAACTAGTGCAACTTTGCACTCTGAGATGTTTCCTACCCACTACCTTCAAACATCTGTCAACAGAACACAGTGTACACAATGTCTATTCTCTTAGACTAATGATAATATTAAATTCGACTGGATATACCCGGCATTAGTCAGTGCTCAGTAATCAATCAATTGTTTTTACTATTTGTTATGACCTTAGTTATACGATAATCGCGAAGTACAACTGCCAATTTAGATACGCTGACTTATACGACCAAATTAATGACGCTTACACACGTACGAGCAACCCAGACTTCCGATTGGTCTTTTTCCACCTAACTATGCTTATTAAGACCAGAACGCCAATCTCAGCCTCCGCATTGCGAATCCTATAAATCAAACATGCTTGCTTTATATATAAGCAAAATAACATTTGTACAAGGTCAAGCCATAAGTGGCCGTGATTATGAGAAATTGTGACTAATAGACTGAGAATAGTAAATCATATAACCGTGACTAATAGGTGATTTAAGAGTTTATAATAAGAGGAATATAAATATATATAGTTTAGTTAGTATTAATCCATAAATAGATCTCAACAATCTCCATCCATTTTACTCGTCGGGATAAAACACTATTTATTTGCGTTTTATCAGAATGTTTTGTGGAGATTTTTTAGAAATTTTCACAGATTGAACTCATGAGTCAGTTGAAGCTAGACCACCATTGAAAACCTGGAAGCACTGGACGGCCGTTTCGTCCTAGTATGGGACCCCTCAGCAGTGCGCATCCACGACCCCGCACCACCCGGGGTTCGAACCCAGGACCTACTGGCTTCGCGCGCGAGCACTTAACCATTAGACCACTGAGCCGGCATCCAACGGTGTTAATGTCTAACTTCAACCAATCCACGAAGTTGCGCTACCGTACACCATTGTCTTCAGTGAGTTCCTATCTCACAACAGACCTGGTTGAACTCCACTGGTAACGACTTCTCACTAGAACTCCAGAAGTGTCTCCTGAAGTCAGTCACTAGTGAGCAGTTGATTGTTATTATCAGAATGTGTTTTGTGGAGATTTTTTAAAAATTTTCACAGATTGAACTCATGAGTTTTGTTGATTCAAGTGTTTCAAGCACTCAACAGGCCCCAAGTCTGAACTTTACTTCTTTTAAATGTGTTGACGGAGGCGGTTAGTGTTCCTAGATTTCGGACACAAGAATAAAGTTTGAGTCAGAAGCGTGTTTAGTTACGTTTACTTTGTAAATGAGTTGCATTTGTTACTGAAAATCTGAAATTTACCAGGTTTCGAGATATTTCTGTAAAATCGATGGACGATATATCAGATTTATCTATTCTGTATTAGTAATTATAAGTAGAATGCGGGTCGTGTGTATATAATAACGTTTATTTTGTTCCAAATGTCAATTCTCTTCATTATAAAATCTCAAACATATCGTATATTAGTTCGAAATCAGTTTACTGTTTATTTGCAACTCAAGTATGAGTGCACGAATTTGTTATTGCTTACTTTTTTATATGTCATGAACCGGTTGGTTAATTTGTTTGTACGTATACTGTGGTCTTGTGTTCTTCCAACTAAAAATGACTTAATTCCTGGGCTTTCTCATTATCACTTTGGTAATAAGCTGTTCAGTTATGCCACATCTGTTTTAGCAGTTCGTTTAAATGACTGTCTTGATATACAATTCTGTCTTGATTTGTTCTTATCACTTCTGATTAAAGTAGGCTCTAGAGATGTCCAAACTGACAAAAAAGTTTCCTCAGTTCAACGATTTAGGTGAAAGAACAAAATGTCATCAAAAATGTTACCTTGAGCTGCAAATTGTTTTCGTAATTTCAAAATGTATGTGTTTGATCTCATATCAAGTGCATAGAATTTGCCGATAGTCTAGGTAGTAAAATTATAATGATTATTTAAAACTGATTGATTGTATCCATTAAAACTGGTGTATCTCTCTTCAAATAGATTATAATCTCAAATATATTGGTTGCTCGAATTTTCCCATTGATGTTTAGAACTCTGACTGATCGGTTTCTCTTGGTATATATGAACCCTACGAAGATTGACTGGATGTTGCAATTTGAAGAGAGATGCATGGTGTTTAGCACTGAGCTAGAGGAAGTGCGTTTCGTCCTATTTCGAACTCGTCGGCTTGATGTACCTGTGTCCCAGAGTTGATGTTCACTCCAGGATTCGAACCCAGTACCTTTTGCTTCAAACGTCATTCTATTGTCCACTATCTGAACTCAATAGTTATGTGGATAACGTCATGGCGTTTGAAGCAAACTACACTGTGTTCGAATCCTGGAAAGAACAACTCTGAGGTACAAGTACATCAAGCTGGTGAGTCCAAAGCGGGACGAAACGCACATCCTACATTTCACTGCTAGCTACCGTTCATCTCTTCTTAAGATCATAATCTCAGTCTGTATACTGAACGACTTATTAAACAATCGACATTGTGTCATCGTTAAACGCTGGTAATGCAATTCATAATTTAGTCGGATGCAATGAAGTGTTTCATGAACATTATCGTTATATTCTTACCACTAAAATAAATTATCACTGTTTTCCAAGTGTAAATTTTTCATACGAATACTTTTCAGTTATTTTGTAAAGCGGTAATTCAGTAGTTTAGGCGTTCAAATTTCAGCCAATAACCTGTGGCATTGAACTCTGGTCCACCCACTTAGGTTTTATGACGGGTAATATCACTAGTCCTTACACTTGAAGTGGGATTCAGAGCCAAGTACCCAAATCTGTACCCGGAAAATTACTTATTAACAGTCATTTGATAATTACTTTTGGAAAATTTGCTAAATATTATTTTATACATAAAAATGTCTTTATTTAACTGGAATGAAGATAAGATATACTTGTACTTGTACTTCTAAACGTAACTAGTCTGCGCTAATAATATTAATAGTTATTATTAATCCATAAAATTAATTTTAATCATCTTTTAAAGTGGTAAACCTCCTTGAGGTAAATTCCAAACATTTTAATAAGAAGCAGCTGTAGTCTGTTGAGTTTAATCACTTGGAGCATTAGACAGGACTGTACCGGAATCTTTAATATATTTTATTGTACCTTACGTCTTTCGTTACTCTATAACCAATGTAATTAAGTGGTTTAAGCAGTGACAATTCCAAATATGTTATCAGGATGACCTTCAAACAATCTCGAAAAATCTCGGTCAAATGTTGGGTAGTCAGAGAATAGCAAACAGTCTGTTGAAGCCTTCTATAGGTTGTTTTGTCTGTAAATCAAAAAGCGATGACATCTGAACATTCAGTTTCCGAATCTCTACAAGACTTAAGAGTTTACATATTGTCAACGGTTAGGTTTATAATTTGACCTTGCTAGTTGTGTATTTTTTTGACAATGTCTCAAATAAAATAGATTTGTTTGCAAAAGGTTTTGAAAATTATTTATTGAAAGCTCATTAAAGTATGAAATGCTTCAGTATACATGGCGTTGGAGAATGATATAATATGTAGAAAATCATTTGCTTTACATTTTGGTATTTCACATTTCTCTCTCTATCATACACGCAAACTCACAATCACACATACATAACTTAGCATGAATAGAATCTCTGATAACTTGATAAAACCTATACTGGGTGTGTATTTATGGGCTTGTGCATGCTTATGTATGTTTCCGTGCGTTCGTGAACAAATGAATATCAATAAACCAAAAAAACGTATTGTGTGCGTTTGTTGGCATAGACTATTTCATATTTTGTACATTACATCAGTAATAGGTATTGATTAGTATCAATAAGATTTGTGTATTACTGATTTACTTAATACAAATACTTTGCACCTTATTACTCATCATCCCTATCATATTATTGTTATTGTTATTGTCATTATTATCTCATTCACTAGGTACTTGGCTGCAAACCATACTATAAGTATAAGAAGGGTAGTGATACGGTTACTGAACCCTTAGTGGACGGAGCAGGGTCCGAGCCTGAGACTTAGTGGCTAAACTTCGAATGCTTTAGTCACTGATCCACAGTTTGAGTACTCTAACCTCACATTTCAAAACGGTGCACCCGGTATCGAGTCAGTTAGACTAGTGAACATATTGCAACTTGGTCGATAGAATTTGATCAGCAATAAAATGGACTTGGTATATATGACATTGTTCACAATTCGGTGATCAATCAATTATAAATACATTTCAGTCCTACAGAAGATCAGTTGTGACCCCGATAGGTCAGTAAGTACTAATGTCTCTGACTATGAAGTTGCGTGACACGGGCTCGAATCCTCCAAGAAACATCAGTTCCCTCATTATTGCAGGTACACCCTGACGAATGTCAAATAGCATTAAAGCGAGGTCAAGCAAGGTTTGTTGTCAACTAACTCCAACACTTCATTTTATTACCCCCGTTCCAATGATTTTGTGCTTCTATCGAATTAAAAACTTGAATCCTACTTTGAGTATATTGTCTTGTATGAAAGCTAAACGTTAGTTGTCATAAGCCAAGTTATCTGTGCGTGATATTTGTTAAGATTAATTTTAGTATGACACATTGTTCATGCTGATTTGTGTTAAATTATGTATGGTATCTCCTGTACATTCTTGAAGAAATTACCTGTTCTGACATGCCGTAAATTGTTCTGAGTACTACTTTTCATTGGTTTCAATCACCTGCAAGTACCCTATCATTTTCGTATATCTTTAAATAATCAGCCGTGTAAATAATATTGGTGTTCCAGTTAAAGACATCATGGTACTTATTAGCATAAGTTGTGTAAGAAACTTTGACCATCTTTATCGGTTATTTATTGCCCCCTATTTTTTTTAAATTTTTTATATACAGTGTTAATCCAGTGAATTTCGATGCATCACTAGTGCATAGAGCTCGTTATTTCATTATTAAATCAGACTATGTGTACAATGTGCACCAATCTATAAAATATGGCGTTTGGTGCTCAACTCGTACTGGTAATCAATGTTTGGATGAAGCGTATCAATCAGTACATGGTTCTACCGTGACTATAACAACAACAACGACCGCCACCACCACCTCTGCTAAAAACGTCAACAGTCGTAATGATGATAATAATAATAATGATAATACTAACATTATCACTGATGAATCGAAATTAGTTCATAACAGTAAGCTACAATCAGATAGTAATGAAGAAGTAACAGGAATTACTTCTACTACTACTACTAATAATAATAATAAATCCCGCCCAACTAACAATCCTGTTCAATGCCCAAATGATGTGAGTTCTTTGTTCTTTCGTGTGTAATGTTACGTGCAATATGTTTCTTTATTTTCCTTTTTCTTGAAGAAAAAGAAAAGAAAAATCATAATATCGATTTAATTCATTTGTTGTTTGCTAGTTTCTTTTCTGTTCAAAAAGAGTAATTATAATAGTCGTCGAAGAATAAGGTGAATTCATGTATTCTTAATGATGATGATAATGATTATTCAGCTGTCTACCATCTGAAGTATTTGTGACTGATTTTTGAAGAGGAATAATAAGATGTACACATAACTTATTATATTTGAACAGAGTTGGATGATGTCTAGCAGTGGAATTGAGGTCGCGTTTCGTCTCATTTGTGACTCCTCAGCTACTTTCACATGCATTTCAGTGTTGGTGTTCACATTGAAACTAAAAAATATCACCTTTCGCTTCAGATTCCTAACACTTTATCCACTTATTAACTTGTAACGTAATCACTAAATCCAGGCAATTTGTACAAGACGTTTATGTCCCAACTTGAACTGATCGAAATTTATTCAAAATATCAACAACGGAATAATCCAAACCATTACAGATGAAATCAACAAAAGCTACAGGTTGTGACTGCATAATATAACACATTTCAGTCAAAAAGGCAATCTAATCTCAGTGTTCATACTGAGACTCAATCCTGCTCTCTTTCATTTCAAATAACAATACATTATCGATTGACCCATGTCACCCAGATGTCCAATAGCATATTTAATGGGTGTTATATTCACATGGTTGTTATAAAGGATTTTGATTATCTGATTGTTGATATTTAAATTCGGATTTTGATCATTCCTAGTTGGTGTATATGCATCTTGAATGAACTGCCTCAGTATAGCCATTGTGCCGCAAATTTTTTTTAGTATAGTATGAGATCCACCTCGTGGATTCCACTGCAGTCTATTACTTAGATGTATTTAAAAAATAACTCGTGCCTCTTTATATTTCATTCTTATGGATTTTCCATCTACACACACATGCACTGTATTGTATTGTATCACAAAAATTCATCTTTTATATTATAAAGGAATTACTTTCCGCTCTTTTTTTAAAAATAGAAACTCACTATTCTATACAAATCTTTTAAAGAAAACCAATGTTTCACAAAGACTATATGTGTATATGTGTATATGTGCTCTTCTCTAATTTATAATCTACTGGATCATTGTTTTTCAAAATGTTATCATAATCATATCAAGACATTATTGATGCTACTTCAGATAGTATTCCATTTTTAGTTTACCGTAGACAGATGAAAAAAAAGGATAGAAGAAGAAAGAATTTGATTTGAAAGAAACACTATCAGAAAAATTATCGTCAAAACATTGCCAGATATTTCTATTCATAGTTGTTTATTATAGTTTACAAGATGAAATTCAAAAATGTCTTTTGTCAAAATGTGGCTAACAACATGTTGAACACAAAACAGGTATTATCAGTTGAAATAGATGATGTCAACACAATGTTGCAAGTTGATTGAAGTTAGAAATTTGAACTATTTTATTCTATCTATCAATGGTCTAAACGTTATACACATCTTATGAGACTTAAAAGTCTAGTGTAATTGATTCCTGATTAGGTCGTGGCTATGTACTCATATTGAATTTCATTATAGAGTAAAATGGTTGTTCAGTATCCCCCGGGTTTTCACTGATTGTTCAGCTAAATGCTGTCAACGATATCAACTACCTTCCAACTAATTTTATTCCCTTCAGAACTTTCCTTTTGACAGTGTCTTTTGTTATTTTGTTCGGTGTTTATTTTTTTTACCAGTCGCCTGCTGTTGTTACAACCGCACCCATCTTGTCTGTTTGTTCTACCACGTGTACTATCACCACTAATACAAATACACCCAATAACAATGTAAACTTCGATACAGCTAACGTTTCAAGAACGAAAGTCAGTACAAACGATCCAATTATACCAATAACAACTATTTCTTCAACCATACCAACGGCAAATAATGGTCAGAACTCGACCAAATCAAAAAGAAATTCAACATCTACATTTAATACTAACATAAACTCTTCTCCTGGACATATTATTCTATTTTTTTCAGTTAGAGAATCTGGATATCTAACTGGAGTTGCTGAAATGATCAGTCCGGTTAATCCACAAAAGCGTTCTACAATATGGCAAGATTTACGATTTAGAGGAGAATTCGCTGTGAGATGGTTGTATATTAAAGTTAGTTATGTGTATATAATTTTTATTTTTTTTACTATTAAAATTAATCTTATATAAACGTCTTACAAAATCATATTGAGAGTTCATCGTATCATGTGTTGCCTAACATATAAAACTTGTCAGAATTTTACTTTTTACTTGTAAATACCTCTGGTAGCTGAACTAATCTTGAATAGTAGGAATTTTTGTCTAGAGTACCAAATCAACACAGTTTTGGCTTATAAATTATTATTAGGGTAAAGTAAATCTTAGTTTTAGAGTGTATACTAGTTGAATATGATGCATTGTAAAATGGTACAAGGTTTTAGAGAAAAAAAAACCCAACATGTAAAACCATTTTCAATCATATCAAATGTATTTTCTGTTATTATATAGATTCTACTAAAATCGATATTCACACTTATTGTTTATTTATTTAAGCATACAAACATTGGTACAAGGAGGCACCAAATATATATGCGCCACACAAATGATTGAATTTGTGTGAGGGCTCGGATACTGTCTGGGTGCCCAAACCGAAACAAGTGATTTTCTTAGGGGGTCACTCCTCGAACCTTTGACCTACAGGTCTAATCCAGAAGGCAGTGGAACAACGTCAGAAGACGTAGTCCCATGGTAGACAGTGATCAACAATAGATTCATACGCCATTTATACTCTCAGGGGCCGACAGCCAATGTGCACCATTGGTTTGGAATCAGGGTTTCTCAACTCACCTAGGTGGATCCTCCATATCCACTAACACGATTAAATTTTCGGACATTCTCTTTTTGTCCTCTCAATTTAATGAACAACACCCCCACCACGAGAAGGCAGTGAGTAAGACCATGTAGGAGCATTTCAAGAGGGAGCGCGGACTCTCCATACTCTCGGTCGTAACAGGGTATTTGGGGGACACGTTAAGTTACAGAATAAAATGGAGTATGAAATATGACTAAGAAAAACTTAGACATTGTTAAACCGAATTACGAGGCACTCATCAGTAGTGAAATTGTGTCTGTATAGTTTGATTCTCTAAGACTATCTAGTTTCCTTACTTATTAAAATCATAATGAAGAAACCTAGATGATATAAATATTGTAAAATTAAGTTATCATCGTTACTACTAAGTTTATTTGCCGGTAAATAATGTTTTATCATTACACACTACTTAATTGCTGTTACTCATTTACCAAATCAATTTTTTATAAGTATGAATGCTAACAGTATAAAACCCAGTTTCACTTTAAATAAACCGCATGAAGTTGTACAAGTGGCTTAACCGATAACGATCACTGTTACGTGACTCCTCTACTCTATATCGGTATCATAGACGTCACCCAGTCGGTTTGTACAATGACAAGCCAATAAATGAATTCATGTGCTTGTCTTTCTTACCTCTCTCTATATATATATATACATATATATCCCTTAATTTAAAATAAAGGTTACCGGCTGAAAATTACATGTAATTAAAACGATATATAGGTGGAGTCTCTACGTATTATCTGAGATAATAGTCACATTATGATTGTTGATAGTTATTGTTTACGCATGGCTGTGTGATTATAAAATAAACAAACAATAGGATAAAATGTATCAACACTGTTATTTTTATATATGCAAATCAAGTCATGCGACATTTAAAAGAGAAAGTTATTCTTAAATGATTATTTTCACGGTTCCAAGCAGTAGTTCAGTGGTGAAAACATTCAGCCTTCAGCTACTATGTCGCTTGTTCGAACCATTCTCCACCTACTTCAGTTTTGGAAAGCGGGTAGTACCTTTAACTTCTTCACTCAAGTTGTTACTCAAAGCTGAATTTGCTTATCTTAACCCGGTCAATGATGAGAAATACTTATGAAGTTTTACAATATTTATATATGCAAATATAATGTTCCTTCTGCGAGTCTCATTGTTCTTCCGGTTCAATAGGTTTCAGGTTTCATTCAAACTATCATATATATGTTGAGAATTTAAAGTATTTTTATGAGCTATAATTAAACAATGTAAAAAAGTAGTTGAGGATCTGTAATATTCAGCGAACGGATGAATGAATTATACCATCAATCATTGTTATAATTGTTTGACCCAATGTATAATAATACGACTAAATGATGTTAACTAATTACTGTGATATTACTAAGAATCGATTGTGCTTAAAGTCTGATGTAACACCAAAATCAATGGTTTAGAACTAATGCACTCTAAACACTCAAAGCTCATCGAATAACAGGATCGTCAATGTGCTCTGTGCCCAAACTGAGGTAAACCATCTGTTTGTACATGTTTGGTTATTCAGTGACTCCCTGACACCTGTTAATCCATGATAAAGACTTTATTAAAATCTAACTAAATATTTTTGATAGGTGATGGACCTCAGATCACACTTTATAGACCACTTTGAACGAATCACTTCGTAATACCTTCATACGATTGTTGTTCACACAAGAACTTAAGCTTACTACTTTTCTCAGTGCGTTTTCTCTTGAGTTATTGAATTCAGGTAGCCAATAACTTCTTTAATAATACAATCAATAAGACTCAAGAAGCCAACACATTCTTTCCGGCCCTACTGGTAACTGCATTCCAAATACTCTTAAAACTTATAACCAAAGCCATTTATCAATTCTATCCCCCTAAGAGGTACAGATGGCTGATATAGACTGATCGATTTCAATCCTGAATATCAACACACGCAAATTAATAAATTGAATTTTGTTATTCTACTTAACAGTATAAATTTATTACCTTGATAATTACCTGGATCTTTTAGACGAAAACTATTTAGTCTACAGATTGAAATACTCATAATTATGGTATTAAGGTCTGTCAAGGACAGTAGATGAAAGAAAATTCTTCTACTAGTACTATTATTATTACTCTAATTACTAGTTTTCTCGCGAAATATTTAAATGTATGACTGGTTTCTGGTTTTTTTTTTCGTTGAATTATGTATTTTCTATTCCCATTCACTGTTTTTTTCTTATTTTGTTTGGTTTCTTCTCTTTATCCCCTCATTAAATTGTTTCATCAACCATAACAGCATATTCCGAATCATGTCATTAAGCATATCTTAGTTGAATGCTATGACAATCGTCCGGTTACAGTGTTACGTGATACTAGTGAAATTTTACCACCGTCTAAGGGGGAAGAATTACTACGTATTGTACATGAATATGGATTATCTACATCATCATCACTACCGAATATGTCATCCTCATTGTCAACATCATCATCATCTCATTCTATTGGAGGTGCTAAATCATCGACCAGCAAAATTGGTAACAATCATAATTTTTCAACCAATACAAATTTGACTAATTCAAATGGATTAAATAATCATAAGACTACTAATACGAGTAGTACTTTCATTGTTCCATCATCTACCATCTTTAATAATAGCAATAACACTACTAATAATAGTAATAGTAAGAATATCGTCCCTTCAGTGAGTATATCTTCAACGATTCCTGAGAATTCACAAGTTACTACTAATGTGTCGAATAAACATAAGAATAATTCTTCGTCTACAATTATATAAATTATCATATGATCCTCTCACTTAATTTCTTCTATTTCGTTAACTTCGGTGATATATATAATATAAATATGTACAGTTTTCTTTTTCTAAATGAAGTCGTCAATTAGATATGTGTCATCTTCAAGTTTATTCCCAGAATAAAATAATCCTATTCATTTCTTGAGTATCAACTTTTATATACTACTGAAAAAAAGCAGTTTCGTATCTTTGGTAAGTGAAATAGTGTTCTTTTTTTACGTTAAAATTATGTGTTTAAACAGTTATTGTGTATGATACTATGGGTTTTTGAAGATTGTTGAATTTTATAGTTTGCATCACAAACTAAATTCAATTAAATAACTTTTGAAAATCGGGATTCACTGGACAGCGGTTTCATCCTAGTGTTGGATGACTCATCGACAGTGAGAATCTGTGACCAGTGAAGTTCGTTTTGGTAGGATGTCGGGCATTCGCCCACCAAGAACATTAAGAGGTGATTACGCAATATCACGAATACACCTTATTCAGGAATATGAACCACTGAATTACTAAATCAGTGGTCTAAAGCTTAAGCGCTTAACACAAGACCTCAAGGTCCTGGATATTAATCCCCGATTAAGTTGTAAAAGCATACTTCTGCGAAGTCTCATTCTAGGACGTAACAGATGTCTGATGATTCTTGATCTTAACCACTAACTTGTGTAATGTCATTTAAACCGAATAAGTTATTATTTCACTACTTAATTGGCTTATTATTTACGTACCCAGAGTCATCGTCGACATTTCTTTTTTGTTAAATTAAATCTATCTACGTATAAATACACATGAGTTCTAATTACTCTAACTCAGTATATTGCAGTACAGATTCCCTCAACAGTTCTATCTTCTTACTCTTTGTCTAGTTCAGCTAATCGATTGTTTAGGAGCATAAATAATAAATAACTTGTAATATTTAGATTCCATGAAAAAATTCTGTCAATCGGTTCCAAAGATGTCCGCCAACCTACCAGTTTATTGCTGCTAACTTTGTACACGTGAAGTAGTATGACTTAAAGCGGAATATATACATTCTAAAATTAATAACTCAAATATTATTGTTCAAATGTAAACATCAAAGCCTGCTATCGTGGTTTGATTATTATTTTCATAAAAAGACATGCTTTCATTGGATATCAACTTCAAATAGATAGTCATAGGAAATCAGTGGACCACCGATTTCCATCAATTTCAAACTATTTAGTCTTACATTTTTAGCACCTTCATGTCTTATGCTAATGAATACGTTATTGATTTATTCTTATCTCACTCCTTACTCTTTTTTGACCGCTTTGAGTCAAGGTTTCTTACTAGAGTTCTGAGAATACATTTTAAGCTCAGTTAGTTTGTAATAAACGTACAGTTATTGATTAGCGTAATGATTCTCCTAAGATAACTATCACCACAGAGAGTCATTAAAAGCTGGTCGTAACCGGCAGATATCAATGATGTCAAGAGTAAAATATCTCTTTATATTCATCAATAATTAATTATCGATAACTTAATTTCAATCTAAATAGTTTGAGTATATTATACTGGCCATGAGACATGAAATGATTCAATCCTGTATGTATATGCACCATCAAAGAATCCGAATTTTTTTTTAAAATAAACAACTGCATCCAATTTTTCCTGCTTTCTTTATTGCTTATACAACCAATATTGATTCGTTAAACAAAGAATACCATCTTCAAATTGGACTAGTCCTCCTCGAAAATCATTACTTTGGTGAGACTATTAATCATAAACAAACCAGTCAAATTCAAGATATTGCCTCTTGGACTTTTGCCCAAAATGCTTTTATCCATGTGACTACTATGTCTTATTGTATTAGAGCTTATTTAATTTGGTGATGAGAACTCTAACTCTTATTTATAACCCAATTTTGAAACTAATAAGTGATTAAAGAGGAAGAATGTATTTGTAAAATCTCAGCGAAAGAATTTTGAATTAAATCCAACGTTTCGCCTGGCAATCTGGTCCAAGCTAATAAGTGATTAAAATTTCTTGAGATCACTTAAGAATCGTTGGAGAGTTGTCCATCAACTACAGTCGTGTCGAAAGATTTTTTTCCCTTTCATATTTCATCATAATTACATCATATTTAAATAATTCCAGCTCTTAAAAGTTACCAATTTTTATTGATTTCTGATTTATTGATTCAAAACAGCTACTTACCTACCATATATTGATTACTTTTTATTTCTGGTACACAACAAATTATGATTTATCTAGAATGCAGATTTTATGAATGGTCAGTCTGTTTAATAGTATATGTTATTTTAGTTGCGAAATGAACTCATCAAATTCATAGACAGTTCAAGACCAAGGTCATCAATTGCGTCGTCCGTGTCATAACCATGGTAACAGAGGTCATTCCAGTAGTCACCGATTTGAATGAACTTTACTATTATTATTTGTTGGCATGATTACTTAATAGTTTCGTGTGTATGTGTTTAGTTATTCTATGATTCATTTATTGTATTTAATGGTGTTATATGTGTTATAGGAGCTAATGATGATAGACAATAACAAAACCACTGCAATTAAACCATCTAGCTCGTAGAATACGTCACTAAAAGCATCTACATGAACTGCACATTTTTTTCTTTCATTTCATCATTTAGTGAATTATTAGGTGTTTTTTTCATTAAACTGGATAGACCTATGAAATTACAATGTGTACTGTTGAAAATACAGTGTTATCATTAAGACAGATAGTAAATTTAAGGAAATATTTCCTGGAAATAAGCTTGGACCAGATTACCAGGTGAAACGTTGTATTTACTTCAGATTCTTTCTCTGAGATTTTACAAATACATTCTTCCTCTTTAAAGTCTCACATCAACTCAGCACCCAAATACTGTAAAACTATTCGATCAAATTTAGACGAAATTTCTTAGTAAACTATTTATTCATCGTTCATTACGTTTATGAAATCTCTTCTCCTTAGACTTCTGTGATCACTTTTTAAATTAATCAAGTTCATCACAATTAGTTCATTTTCGTTAATAGATCCTTCACGATGATGTTTAATCCTGCATGTGACAGTATTCAAGTTTATCTTAACAGATAAAGTCAAATATTGACAGAGACTGGTTATACTGTATTGTAAAAGTTGATTACAGAGAAATGTAAACTCGTACAACTAGTGAAAACGATATATATTTTCCACACAATATAACATATAACATACAAGCTATTATGACCTTTTGATAGTTCACCTGATAGCACTTCTCTAATACACATGGAACAACAGTTTATTGTTAAAGAATTCCAAAATGCACCAGTTATTTTTTGTCTTTTGATGGGGAAAACCTTTGCTACGGATTGAAGTTATCTGTAGAATGATTAGGAGCTATCAAACACTAGACTGATTAGCTTGTTTTGTTCTAATCTGGAGTTTTACTCATGATCTTGGACTGTATCGATTCTCAAGACTCTGCTTTTTGCTGAGACCAAGTTGCTCTTAGACCATCAAACTTATAATCCAGCGGCCGTTCTTTATTCCTTTGTGTCAGTCAGTTAATCATAATCAAAGTATACCCTCACACAAATTCCCATTGCCTTTAATTTTCGTGCTACGTTCGCACAACGACATTAAATTACTAAGATATATACCAAAGGAATCGAAATAATGTAGTAGTAATAACAATGAGAGAAACTGGACATTGAGAATATGATACGAAAAGACAGAATAAAGACGTATACATAAGTACTAGAAATCAAGATCTGAAGGAAACTATGACATGAATATACTTTATCCACTGTGACGGATTCTGATTGTTATTCCTCGGACTTCAGTTTGGCAGTCTCCATCTACCAAGATGACTCTGATCAACGTTCAGTAACATCACGGAATGATCCCATGTTTTAGTCTCGGTGCTCCCCTTCCAACCTAGTTCTTTACTAGCGGAGATCGTCCGCCGAAATAGGCGGTTTACAAGCATATATAATACATGTCCCAATTACTTTAATTTATAACTCTATCAGTTGATTCTCCATCCTGTCTTAGTGTCCTATGCCTGATTTGAATACCGTCCTATCAGATGTTAAAGGCACGTATGGTTGTATCCTTGAATTCCACTCATGTTTTCTATTTTCATAAACCATAGTTTATAACCACAGGGTATTACAAAGTGTAGTGCTCTGTAGTATACTCATCCATAGGTTGGAAGACGGACATTTCAAAAATGACACAAGAGGCCGACCTATCTTTCTGAATCGATGACGTTATTTTGTCAGACACCACCGTTCGTTACTACTTCTGCTGTTGCTGAATAACTAAAAAAACATTCCCACGTATGTCTTCAACCTACACTTTATATACGTGTTGAAGTAGGAATCAATACTAAAACGTATCATTAACAGAATTAATAGTCGGTCACAAAATAATCAGGTTGTTACCACATTTAGTTTTAATCATTTTAAATGTTTCCTAGTCGTTTTGTGGACAATATTTAATAGGATAAATAGTTAACACTCAAAACTTACATTTTTTTCATCATATCACGTAGACAGAACTTCCCTTGATAATTTTTAAATACCAAGGGCGGCACAAGAAAATCGCTCCATTAGTAGTAGGCACTCACTAACCCCTATCAGGGATATAACATCAATACGTTTAAGTTTCACAGTGATTATCTCACTGAGTTGATATTCAATGTTTCACATTCCTTAAATTTATTCATTTCACTGTACTAAACAACTATCATTCATTTTCATCAGCTATATCTATCTCATTACTGATTTGTTTAGAATCACTTTAAGGGTATGGATTATCGACAGAACTTTAGGGATTCTTTTATGATTCATTAGTGATCCAGTATATTATTATTATTAACTCTTATTCATAAAACATATTTTATTATTATTCTCTTTTGATCTGAATAATTTGACAAATAATTCCTTTCTATCATATGATCCAAATTCTATTCTAAATAAGTTACTTATCACATGGTATAACAAGAATCATACATTTCATTCCATAGATAGATGGCTTATAATTATATTGTCTGATACTTTAAATTGAATAATAATGAATCATAATAAGTTTAAGCTTTCATCTTTATTGTTACAAATTCCACGCCTTTATGAAATGATTAAATAACTTCCAGTTGTACGTTTTCAACTTATTACTACACATATGGTATACATGCTTGTTGCATTTAAAAGAGAGAGAGCTATTTGTCAATAATGTATTTTCACAGATTTAAATCATGAGTCAGTCTAGTGGGAAGCCGTTACCAGTGGAGTTCAACCAGGTCTGTTGTGAGATATCAGCTCACTGAAGACAATGGTGTACGGTGGCGCGACTTCGTGGATTGGTTGAAGTTAGACATTAACACCGTTGGATGCCGGCTCAGTGGTCTAATGGTTAAGTGCTCGCGTGCGAAGCCAGTAGGTCCTGGGTTCGAGCCCCGCGTGGTGCGGGATCGTGGATGCGCACTGCTGAGGAGTTCCATACTAGGACGAAACGGCCGTCCAGTGCTTCCAGGTTTTCAATGGTGGTCTAGCTTCAACTGACTCATGATTTAAGTCTGTGAAAATTTCTAAAATCTCCACAAACTACTTCTGATAATAATGTATTTCTTGTATTTAATACTTCGATTGTTAAACATGAATATTACTTATAAGTTTGATTACTTAATTTATTTAAAAGTAGTTATAAGAATGTAAACAACATTACTTAAAACAAAATGATACTTGAGCATAATTCCACACAACATATCAGTTGTATTTCGCATTCTCCAGTTAAATATTTTAAGGAATTCCTTAATTCTTAAAGTCATACATGTTTGGTAATAATGATTTTCTAAATTTCTGATGAGAATTTGAATCTCCCTCTGTTTCCATTGCTTACCATGTCTTTATTTATTTTAACACATAGATATTGGTACAAGGAGGCACCAAATACATATGCGCCACACAAATCTCATTCGCTATGTGTGAGGGCTGTGATACTGCCCGAGTGCCCAAAACGAAGCAGGTGGTTTTCTTAGGGAGCCACTCCTTGAGCCTACGACCTGAAGGCCTGATTCACAAGGTAGTGGAGCATCGTAAGGAGATGCAGTTCCATGGTAGCCGGTGACCAACGATTGGTCCATACGCCATTTATTCCCTCAGGATACTGGAGCCCATGTGCACCATTGGTTTGGGATCCGGCTAAAGCGCCAGACATTCGCTTTTCGTCCTCTCATTTTCGTAAACAACACCCATGGTGCGAGAAGGCGATGAGTAGGACTTCCCTGGCAGAGGCTATATACGCGTGGCTGTGTGAGAGCATTTCGAGAGGGAGAGCGGACTCTCCTCACTCTAGGCCGTACCAAGGCATTTGGGGGCTTATCAGGCATCGAATAATGTAGATAATTTATAAGTCCAATAAAGAGGATTACAATAGGCTAGAAGTGTTGGGGATACAAGATCCCTAGAAATCAATTGGTAAACGTCTCATTTTTACATCATAAACGCCAATTTTTACCTTCATTTTGTATTTTCCACTTGGAAGAAACTTAAATGTCGTTGGTTCGTTTCCTTTCTTAATACGTTATTTTGTGACTTTGTCCAAGGATAATTTGGGACTGTATTATAAACCCTTTGGTTGTGTGTTTGTTCGTTCATGCTTCTGGCTGCTTGTGGAATGTATTTTTTCCGGTCTGGATCAGGTCTTCTCCTTTGAGTTATCAAGTATGTGGCTCAGTGGAATAACGTAGTTTGTCCTGTTATTGTATTATTGACTTCGTCCCGTTTTGCTGGTTTTAAGCGATATCGTAATATTTTCAAACGTAGCAGGGTATTAGCTTTTTGTTTACACTGAGTAGCTTACAGAATTCTTTCATAGCAATGTCATTTTCAGCCCCCTCCTAAGCTTCCATTCTTTTTCCTCGATGACCGTCAGTTCACGATGAATACGCAATCTAATCCAATCAGAAATTTGTAAACAATGTAAAATCATTTACCAACTGTCACAATTTCCTTGTGGATAATTCGTTTTCTAAGTTTTCGTTTGATAACTTTTTAGTATTAACTTTGTATGATCAAGAACTAACTAACGAAAGGAGTATATTTAAATAAATATCTCTCTTATTAGCATACTGTTGGGGTGTTTAATCCTCAAGTAACCATCTAATTACTGATGATTTTGTTATTCGTAGTTCGGAACAACATTATTTTTAATTTAGTCTTCATCAGACTTTACGCTAATATACAAGAATATTTTTATGTGTATGAAACTATTAAACCGATCAAGACAGTTTATGAGTCAATGATCATCGAACGTCATGTGTTTGATTCCCGGATATGGGTTTGTGGATGTGCACTGATTAAAAGTTCCATAACATAAAGAAATGGCCGTCTGGTTTTTTCAGGTTTTCAATTGTGGTCAAACTAAAGTCAGTTCATGATTTAAACTATGATAGCTTTACAATACTTTAAAACTCTCCTATACTAATACTGGGCGTATGATAAATTTATAACAAGTTTTGGAACAGTAAATTAAGTCAAATGAAAAGTTACATTTGGAGAGATGTGGAAGTCACATGAAATAATTGTTACTAATTACGTATTATGAAACAAAAGCATTGACGTCCCTAAAAATAGCTTTATTATCCACTCGTACTTTTCTCGTCCTATTGATTCATATGTATATATATGATATAAAATGTCACCTTATCTTTGTTTGTAGACCCTCAGCAACTATGAATTATGTAGAAAATTTAAATACGTTCGAAACGATTCAAATGGATTGTCAAACATTTACGTGTATGTGTTAATTCATTCTCAAGGTTGCATGTATGTATTCTGTAACCATGTTTAATGGTAGCTTAATGAAATCCCTATTATAACATTTCCCTCATGATGTTGAGTGGTTCCAGTATTTCACTTTCTATTTAATACATCAAAACACAATAAACTTTGACATATTTTCTTATTGTTAAACAGACTGACTGCTGACAGTTTTACATGATTTACTACTTCATATTGTTCAATCCTTTCTTCGTTAATTTCCTCTCCTCTGCGTCACTATATTTCTCATTCACCTATTAAATCTTTATAAACATTCTCTACTTGTTCGGAATTATATATGTATCGATTTCTGTTTGTGTCCGGGCATTATCATTGTGTTTTTCCTGTTATTTGTGATTTCATCCCTTTATATTCTGCTTGCTGCCTTTATTTACGAAAAGACGGTTTTTTTTTAAGTTTTGTTTTCTTTAAATCATACTTTATTATTAAGTTACTTAGTAACTACAATCGATTTTGTAATAATCTACATGTACGCACACACATATACATGAATTATTGTTTGGGTAAATTTTGACATTTTGTGTGTTCAGTTTAATTTTCTTCTACATGTACATCTGTTTATTAATGGGTCCATGTGTGTGTGTGTGATGATGATGATGATGAATAAGTTGCTAAACACTAGCATATACGTAAACGATTACTCTATATCAACAGCACATCATAAAGCATCCATACCTTTTTTGCTATATTTGTCTGTTATCCATTGTTTATACACATATTATACATCTGCGCTCTACTTGCCACATTCTGTTCTGTTGTCATATTTTTGTTATTTCTTGGACATCTTTTTTTTATTATTCTACTACATTATTAGGATGGAATCCAAGAGAGCTGTGTTCTACCTTTTCGATCCTATTTGACCTGTTATCTTTTTTTTGTTATCAATAAACTCAATTTACAAAATACATATTCGATGATGACATATTAACTATTTTGTTTATTGTGTCCATTCGTGGTTGTTTGTCTCTGTTTATGTGTGATGCATACTTGATCTGTTCCACCTAACAGATTCACTTCACTTGTTTATGTTTGTATTATTATTATTACTATTATTAACGATCATTTGGTAACTGGATTAAAAACCGACTTAAGATGTATAAATTTGTTTTTGCTACATTACTCTACTGCACTGCCCCCTGAACAATAATCAATACATAATCATCACTATTTATCATTGTTCTTGCTTGTAAGCAAATTTTAGTCTTTCATTCCATGTATTGGTTATTCATAGGTTTGTTTGTTTGTTTGTTTTCAGTTTATGTGTTTATTTTCTTTTAGTCAGTACGATTACGCAATTACTTCTATTATTATTATTATTATTACTATGGATAATTACTTGTATAAGATTAGTAGTGGGGAAGAAGCATTGTCGTTTGATTTTGTTATACATTTTATGAGATTATTTTCTAATCCAGTGCCTTCCAACTCTCAATATCTTTTTTTCTTCATATACCTACTTCCTACTTAATAAACGCTGTACATTATTCTCTGTCTTATGCTCTACACAAAATATACAAATAGTAGTTTAACATCGTTCGTCAGTTGTATGATAACTCATCCAAAACGACGAACAGTTGGTTCAATATATCTCATTACTTCATTTACACACACACACACACAGATATTTATCCATTTGTGAAATAAATTTAATTTCATATTGAATCTTCCCGTGTTTGATGATTATTTACTCATTGTTGGTCTGTCAGTTCACTTCTCCTCTCTCTTGTTTTCTATCTATCGTCTTTATCTATGCTTCGTATTTTTTTCGTTTCATATTAGATAATGTGATTCCTACGATTTTTTACGATCATCATTACTATTGTTATTATTATCATTGTAATTTTGTATTGCTTTCTTACTGTTTGCCTTCGGTATGTTTCAGAAAATCCTTTATCCTAGCGAGAACCTGAATTTATTTTGTTGGTTATCCCTTCTGCTTTTATATTTTTTATTGTGTTACACCTACTTTGATGATAGTGGCTATCTTACCGGAGATCAACAGTTTGTTCGGAAAATCTAATGTATCTGTCTGGATTATGAGAAGTTATTTCTTGTTTTCTTCATTTCTCTTGTGTGTTCGTTTATCTACTTACTTTTAAATATAAAGAAAATAATATCCTTTCTCTTTGTGTACTCTCTCTCTCTCTCTTTATATTCAACTTCCGTACAGTTTACATAAGTAAATTGTTCAGATATATACAATGAATTATGTGTAAAAACTTTAATTGTATAAGACATAGTTTGAAGTAGGAAATCAAAACGTTTCTATTATGTTATGCTTTATTCTTTTCTTTTGTTTACCTGTTGCTTCGTTCTGTATCTGTTTTTTTCTCTCCTAATTTTTTCTCTTTTTTGATTTATTCTTGCTCCGGCGAATGCGCCCCCGTCCCCATTCGCTACGTACAAATCTTTCATTTTTG